CAGGCTTGGCTTCCTCGCACACGCTTTCATTATTGTGCAAATACGTTGCATAATAGCGTTTGCAATTGCCTTGCGTCAGTTTGTATTTCGTTTGATTTCGGCTTCAGCTTTAATTTTAGTTATTGTCAGCTGTAGTTGCGTTTCGAAAATGCCACGCTTCGAAATGAGTTTCCGAGATAAACCGCACGGTTCTGAGCAGACCGTCGCGCGTCTTTGAAACAATCGTTTTCGCGTGAAACCAATTGGCGTCGTTTTAGTAAAGAGTACTTCAGAAATTTACGACGCATCCTGTCGCGACCGAAGAAATTCGGAACGTCATGCCGCGTCGTGTTTATACCTTCAACTTTTTTACGTTGTCTCCAAAATACGCACGTACGAAACCAGAGAGAAACCAGCACGATACTCTTCTACGAGATATAACGTCTATCGGGCAAGATGTCAAGGGTTTAACCCTTTGAATGCTTTGCTGGAAGTTTAACTCTTCTACGAGATGGAATTTAATTCTTCGCGGTAATTTATCACATAGTGTTTCACGTATTCGATCAGAGCGGGTCAATCGTCAATTTGTATTTTTTGAAAACATCATAAATTTCTCTAAATTATTAAAAATTCCTTGATTTCCATTAGACTCGCTAATTAGATGAAATCGAGAATACTTAGTCCTTAGCGAGAAATAATTTGGGCCATAAAGGGTTAGGCCCTTTGCGTCTCAATCGTTTTGCTGTGAAATTACTGTTTTATGCAAAACCACCTTCAATAGATCAATAATTAGCGACTGTGTCGGGTATTTCGGGTTCACCGTTGAATCCAAAATTATTAAATATTATTTTCAAGAACAAAGTTGCTTTCCAGAATACGGGGATCTCCGAAATAATCACGAATGTTTTAGAGAGGCGATTTATTAAGAGAAAAGATCCGAGAACGTTCGCCCCTTTTTTCGGTCGATCATCCCCAACGAATAATGTCACGAGTCTCGAATAATTCGCACAGAATTCTTCGTGCAAATTAACTGAGTTACGTACTTTTTTAATCGTACCATTGCAAGTAAATTGGGTAAATGTGCAGAATTCGCGCTCCAACATGAATCGCGTTTTTTGATGGCAACCAACAAAACAAGCTATAAAAATTGTACGTAAGGTTTTAATAAGGGGCTTCAAGTTTTTGTAGGAAAAAAATTAAAAACCGTTTTATTAGCGGTCAAGTGTAAGGTGGATCCCGCATCGTGTGAAAATAGATAGATTCTCGTGGATCTCTCTCGCGGAAAGTCGCAGATCCATGTGAAACCGCACAACGTATAGATCTAATTTCCAACAAAACTACTTTTCCGGATCATCGTGACCTGTCTACGAATTTGTCCTTTCTTGTCAACGTTTCATTCCGACCATATGAATAATATTGAATAAATAATAAATCTCTCGTACAAAAACTTGAAGCCCCCTATTAAGGATGTATTGGACGTACAATCTTAGACAAAAGTGCATGAAATTGGAAATACTTAAATATCTACTCTTAACGCATAGTAAATCTAGATGTAAGAAACTTGAACGATAGTTGGAGTCTAATTTGTACTCCTACAAAGGTATTTTTCACTTTACAAATGTTTTTTCCTGAATTATTTGCGATTTTTTTCACTTATGAGCCTAAACTTTTGATAGTAAAAATACTCTCATTTCAATTCTTAATAACGTCAAATATTTTCAAAACTAAAAAATTCGTGCCGACAGCACGAATATCTCAAGTTATATTTTATTATATTTTATTTCTTTAAAACGGTGCAGTAAAGACTATTGAAACTTGGTAGATATTTTCATCTATTCGTATACTAGATGTATAAAAAAATTCAAAACACTGGTACTATTTCTTCTACATTTTTTTAGCTGTTTTATCCGTGAAGATCGGTTTTTCCCATAAGAGTACGTGTAAAATCAGTGTAAATTAAAATAGTTATATCTCAACAACCGTTTAGTGGATGCATTTTTACTTTTCTGCAATAAATTAGGAAGACTAAAAGAATAATTTCACAAATTTTTAGCGACTTTGTACTATTTTGAAGATAGGTCCGATACATCCTTAAAACCTTGCGTACATATGTTTTTATAGCTTGTTTTGTCGACTGCCACCAAAAGGATCGCGGTTCCTGCTCTGCGCAATTGCCGTAAATTGCAACGTTTGTTCAGTGCACAAATGTATAACATATACTGTAAATAATTTTTCATACAGTGTACTTACACGGAAAGACCGGCTAAGGCAAAAATAACTAAAATTAAAATGCCGTATAAATAATAGTGGCATCTACATTGTTTTGTGTTGCAACCTTCACTAAGTTTGCTGCACCAAACGCATATAGTTGTCTCCACTACTTATGATACCAATGTGGGTGCGACAACCACAGATAGAGCTGTCCCAAATATTACTATTCATTGGGGCTGTGCCACAGACATAGAAGATAGACCCAGGGAGCTTTCCAGCAAGCGACACAAGTCGACACAAGTGTCGTTCTGCAGGGTTGGGAAAGTTACTTTATAAAAGTAACTAGTTACAGTTACAGTTTTTTCGCTAACAATGTAACTAGTTACAGTTACAAGTTA